GTCATGCCATAAGAATAGGCTTACTTCGTTAGTTTCCTATGAAATCGGATCTATTAGTTAATCTTTTGCCAATATAAATAGAATATGTCCTCAATAGTGTGAGGTACAGTTTTGCATAAACTTGATAATGGGAAGGTTATCTCCTTCCTCACAAGCGCTGTGGAGTTTCGGGATCATCTCTACTTGGGAAGTCTCAACGTCGACTTCCTCGGCAAGTTGGTCTTATCTTCTGCGCCACCCCACGTATCACATCTTTCATCATATCAGTAGTTAAGAACGTGGTGTCAAGTTCATCATATAGTCTACTTATATTTAGGTTCCTCTCGTAAATTTTGGTATAATTCATTCGCGTGCTTATGGAATGTGACTAAGATTCTTAATTTTATTTTTATAGCCAAAAGTGTGTCACATTTTCAGCTGCATTTACACAGAAAAGGTTGAAGAAAAGAATGAAGAGGGGGTGGGGGGAAAAAACTAATTAAGAAATCCCAACACCCCCCCCCCCCCCCCCCCCCCCCAAAAAAAAGGGCTAAAGCATACCAAGCTGCTGCAAGAAGCGCTTAGCAATTGCTTCCGGGATTCTGCCATGGCGCTGCTGAATGTAAAAAGAAAGGTCACCACCTCTGCAGTACTCCAGTACCAGATGTATCTTCCCGGGAACCTGGATGGAGGTAAATATCTCAACAAAAGCAGGAAGAAACTAGATATTTCTCTCAAGCTCTGTCCTTCGCCAGGCTAACAAAATCACCAGTTCCTATGAATTCCATTCACAACACCTCCTCCGAATAACAAATTAGAAAAGAAAAAAACTAATGTTCGACGTAAAAGATTGCATGTCTGGTGCAACGGATTCCCAAGGAGCGGAAAAATAATATAAACTTCCTATAAATGATTGCACCCATTCGACCCTTCAGACCTTGTTGCCTACACCAAATACACCCAGCCTAAAAATTGTTTCGTATAACACCTATAAAGCGAGGAAGCTCAAAAAGTTGAAAAAAGAAAACAGTTCCCTTCAACTCCATATCATTTGAGTCAGTATGTAAGATCTTTCCAAGGGTTTATGACTAATAGTGTACGCCGGCAGCTTCCAAAAATTCTCATCAACCATTCCTTCTACTTCAGCCGTTAATTAAAATTTGAACCCCAAACGCGACGAACCTTTCTCAGGACAATGTGCTCAGAAGATTTTAACCTTAACAAAAAAACCAAGCACAATCTTGTAAAAACTTGTTTCTTATCCTTTAAATGATATCTAGAGCTTCTCTAATCCCAAAAATTCTAGAACGATTGCACAATACAACATAAACTTCTCAACCCCATCTAAAATTCTCTAAGCATCGACGAATATAACTTCAAGAACTAAACACTGACCTCTACGATATCGTGCAATCGGATGATATTAGGATGATTAATCCTCTTCAAGATAAAGATTTCAGACATAAGACTATCCTGCAATTTCTTACTGAGCCGGCTCATGGAAATTTCCTTGATGGCCACCTCCGTTCCATGAACTCTATGTCTCGCATGCCACACCACCGAGAATGAACCGGACCCAATTTGCCGACCAACCAGATAATCCGCCACCACCCGAGTTCCCCCCGCCGACTGAGCCATTCGACCAAAGCCCTAGGAAGCTCAAATCGCAATACTCGAGACCGGCACAAAACCCCTCCAACTACCGAAGTTGCAGCTTGAAGATGAAATTTGAAGAACCGCACACGGATTTATTTCCAAATGGATCAAATCAAAATTCGCAGTTTGAAATGAAACGTGGAGCTGGAGCAAGATAGAGAAATGGGGGGTTGATGGAGGCTTTGATTAAAGCATGAGCAAACGGATAATCGCGATTAATTTGGCTTTGTAATTAACCGGGATTTGAAATTTTTTAATCGCTCATCATTACTGATATCAGCGAGTTCCTCGATTTGATGGCGCCTTTCTTAATTTCTCCATTTAACTAAAAGAGAAGGTTTGGAGCAGCCCTATATATATAAACACCGCAATTATAGCCTACAAGCGGCTACATTGTAAGACTGGTACGCTCTATCAATCGAACGGCATAGAGGACTGATGCATCTTTTTCGCCCTACTTTTAAATTATCTTCTTGTTACTTTGATGCATTTTCCATTTAAAATATTAATATCAAATGATAAATGATAACGTTATCTCCATCTACATTTTAATTTGCCTAGATTTTTTTAAAATTAAATATATATATATATATACACACGTCAATAGTAGGTAACCTTTTTTCGTTTTTGTTCATATATACAAATTGTAGTTTGGTCTAGGATTATATATCTAATAGCAATATTGTAATTCTTAGAGTATCTTAATCAAATACTAATCCATAAAAATTAAAATTTTGAATGAAATATATATATATATATATATATTTGAATATTTCAAAAACATAAGTGTGTATAACACTTAAATTATATAGATAGTGTAGTTGGTCATCACGCTAGCCTCATACATTAGAGGTGGTTTGAACCAAAGTTTACACATAATTTGTTTCCCAACTTTGATTATTTTATATTAGTTAAATTACTAGCTCAGAGGATTTAAACAGAATGTTTGGGTGGTGTGGTTGGTTATCACGCTAGTCTTACACATTAGAGACCCCGATTCGGACCTGGGTTGGGTTCGGACACAATTGACTCTTGTATTTTGTTTTAATATGTATTTCTTTAAAAGGGAATTTTAACACTTCAGCGAATTTGAACAGATTGTCTGGGTGGTGTAGTTGGTTATCACGCTAGTCTCACACACTAGAGGTCCCCGGTTCGAACCCGGGCTCAGACACAAATTGATTTTTGTATTTTGTTTTAATATGTATTTTTTTAAAAGGAAATTTTAACTCCTCAGAGGATTTAAACAGATTGTCTGGGTGGTGTAGTTGGTTATCACGCTAGTCTCACACACTAGAGGTCCCCGGTTCGAACCCGGGCTCAGACA